TGATGATTAAAGCAAGAAAAGTATCTGAATTTGGGTCATTTGGATCGCTTGGATTGTATAATTCTTCATAAACTTTCTTGGAGTTCTCTTTCCACCTTTTCATTTGTTCTTTAGTATTACGTTCATTAAACGGTTTTACTTTACTAATGCCAAAGGTACCCAGAGACCTTCTTTAATTCGATGAACATAATACCCTTTCTTAATACGATTGGCTGATAGCATCTATAAACAAAATTAGTATGCAAATTTAAGATAGTCTGATAATCATTTTTTTTATAGATCATTTACCTGATATTACATATATAAGTATATATTAATATAAATTGTCACCTGTTGATATCAGGTAAATTGACTATAAGGGAAATGACTAGCAGGATAATGAAAGTAAAGAATACCGATACTGATATCTGAATAAAATTTTTTATTCCACAACTTATTGAATGAAAATCTCTTTTCTTTCAAATATTGTAATTGCTTAGCACAATCTTTATCATTTTTCAACTTATCTTTGAGCTGCTTTTTCACCTCTTTGTTGCTTATTTGCTTATACTCATAAAATAATTCAGATGAAAGTTGTCTAATTGCTTTCTAAAGTATATGCAACAAATAAACATAGATATTAATATAACACAAAAAAGTAAATCTATTTATTAGTTTAATGAGAATCTACTTGAACCAAATAATCTGCTATTTTCTTTGATACCTTTTTCTCTTTACTTTTAACCTCAACAGAATTATATATTTCTCTAGCGTCATCCAACTTTTTAAGGATATTTTCAAGCTGTAATCGTTATTCGTTTATAAGATATTTGAGTTTCGTATAGCCTCTAGAAAGATGCTAAAGTTGTGATTTATTACTTTGTCTAATGTATAAGGTCTTTGTTAACGTATATGAATCAGTAATAGATTGCTCTATTAAATAATACATAATTAACTTATATATTAAAAAAGATAAAATAAAAATGAATAAAATAAATATTAACCTGGGCTTTTATCATTTAGAGAAGTTATGGAAGGAATAACAACTCAGAGTTGAAACTAAATTATAATATACATGTTAAAATTTAAAATATATAGTAAAAAAAAAAAAAAAAAAAACATACAAAGTTCATTAGTAATCCTTTTCTACTATCTAATAACTTATCATTAGTAGTAGTAGTTGTATTATTAATAGTAGTCATCTTTTTAGTAGTAGTCATTGGAGGATCAGGAGTTTCCGTATTAGCCACTTGGTTAGCAGCTTTTCTTTTTTTGGGTAAAGAGTTAAACTCTAATGAGACGTTTAATTTTGTTGCTTGTGCCGAGATGGTTGATTGTGATGACGTAGTTAAGGTGTTTGAAGTTGTTGATTTTGGCTGCAACAAAGTTCAAGGTGAATTGGTTAATATTTCATTATTGTCCATTGCATACTGTTCGGCCGATGATCATTTGGGTTGGCGCAAAAAACTAAAATTAAAGGATGTATGTGTATAATTAGTTTTTTGCCTTTTTCTCTTATAGTAAATTAGTGTTAATTGACAAGAGCAATAAAATGAAATTCTTTCATTTTATATTATTCTAAAATCAATCATTATGCATATTGCTTATTAGTTACATCAGCTATCTGAGTTGAAATATATATATGCAAACTAATTTGAAAATACTTATCGTTTTATATTATACGACATGGTTACATTATTAGATTTCGAAATTCTGATCTGAAATTTTGTAGAAAAATTTGTTAATAATTATGTAATATGATAGAGAAGGCACCAACGGACAACAAAGAAAATTTATCAACAAATGGTAAGAACTTCAACTTTTCGATTCTAGGAATTTTGTAGAATAATTTGTTAAATAATAGAAGTTATAATTCATAACTCATTTGTAAATACATTATATATACCAGATCGTGTTTATTCAAAATCTTTGAATAGCCAATTGATTCAGTTGACTTACAACTCATACGTCTTATAATTCTTCCTTGGATAACTGATATGACAGCCTTTTAGATTAATCAATAGAGATCTTTAATAATTAATCAATAAATAAATTATTTAGCTTATATCATGAATAAAGTTAATTTCTTATCTGGAGAGATAGGCAAAAAAATTCAATAGCACAATTACAGTATTACGCTCTAATCAAAACAAAGAGAGAATTAAATACTTATTTAATACATTCAAAAATATATATATTAATGATAACAACTTACAATAATCTATAAGAACAATTCCTTCTAAAAAATTAATTATAACAATTTCTTATAAATTTCCTAAAGAACGAATTCTCAAATTTTGGAATTGTCATTGCTTCTTAATGATTCGATTAATTTTCTGGCAATTTTTTTTTTGAAATTCATCAGCCAGTAACTTTTCTTGTTAAATATAAGCTTCATATGATTTTCATAAGTATTGAATTTAGATTCCAAATTTACGTCTAATTTTAAGGAATAATATAAATTATTTGCTTAATAAAAAAGTTTCTTGAATAAAGCATATTCATCTAGATGCAATTTGCTAAAAACTTGATCTATAAATATATAAATACACATTGATCCATTCATCTATACAAAAAAAAAAGTTGAAAATTAAATATTCAATATGTTAAATAGCAAAATTCAAAAATTTGCAACTTGACCTACAGTTCAACGTTTTTGCGAACATGCATGTCCGTTATAATATATAATAATTTTGAATAGAGTGTGTGTTGAATGGTGTCTAGAGTGTGTCATTCAATGTGTA